GGTTATGGAATTTGTTATGCTATTGGAAAAGACAAATTGAAACTTAGTATTAGTAGTTATAAAAAATGTAAAGAAACTGATAGTACCAGTTTTAGAAGCATTTTGAAAGCGTCATTGAACGATATGAGAGAAATTTTATCATAATAGACTTAGGAAACCCGATTATAAATTTAAATTATTTATTTTGGTTTTGATTATGATCTTACAAAAACTTTTTTTTGTGTATTTGATTTTTTTATTAGAGGCAATAAATGACAATGTGTATTATGATGAATATGGAGATATTCGACTGACCACAATATGTGTATGCAGAAAGTTATGCTAAACCCTTCTTGAACAATTAACTAGCTATAGTATTATTGCGAAATAAGCGAAATAACGTATGAGTGAAACTTAAAGCTAAATATATTTTCTATAAATATATGCACATTATATGATACTCTTTAAATACATAATTTTTGGAATTACGTATCAATTCTTAAAAAAAGTCCGAGAAATCTAACTACAATATTCTACCCTCTATCATAAATGCACTTTTAAAATCTGGTCACATCTTCATAAGTGTGCCTCTATATCGATATGCGCATATCCTCTCTAAAATGCGCACAATTACCCGATCTCAAGTTATTTTGAGTCCCAGGCAATGTGAATGATCGATAATGTTATACCAGAAATGTAATTTCTTAAAATTTCGAATTTTTCATGATCAAAATGACATTTATTTACGAATGATGGAATGAATTTTCGCGTAATGGGTGACATAACATTTATGATCAAAAAAATCGTAATAGAAACACAATTTTTTGTGATTTTTATATAGAATAAAAAATCAAATTCGTAATGTGTAACAAAATGACAACTTTAACAAGACACGATTGTACATAATCCAATCTACCTCTCATTAAAATCTTTGTTACTCATTCCTGTATTATTATGAAACCTTACCTACTAATTAAATTTTACGTACGTACGTACGTATTTAATGCATAAAATTAATAACGATAAGTTAGCAGATTGATTATTTGTTATCTAATGATCTTTGTCTCTTTATGGCCGCATGGAACGCATTTGTCAAAAAAAATTTTTTATAACTTAAGTCATCGCAAATTTAGTTGAGTTTTTAGACAGTAAGAATTAAGAAACAATATGAGTGCAGTCAATTAAGTGATTTTTTATTTGAATGATTATAATCACATGACATCTGATATGATTTTAGGGAATTGCTACCGACACAACAAAACACGTGCTTATCGACACAGCAAGTGACCAGCACTAACCTTAACGACACAGCATGGCCGGTACTATATTTAAGGTTAGTGTTAGAATGTAGCAGAATTAGGAATTATGTCACGTGTTTGCTGTGCCGGTAGCAATTCCCATGATTTTAATCTACGTATGTCGTGACCGAAGTTGATGATTTAATTTCAGGGGCTAATTTCAATCAGTGAAACTAGTCAAATACGTACTGTACATAGATGACCTTTTCATGTCTAATTGCATAAAAAGAATTTAAAGTATTGAACATTTGAAAAGAACCAAACTCATAAGCCAAGTCCACCTAATACGTATGTTGGAAGAAAAGATTATATTAAATATTGGAGGCATAAAGGTATAAAGCGCAATAACAAATTTTAAGTTACTTTTTTTACTTATGTGTTTACTTTTTAACATGTAGTATGAAACTCTTCGATCAACACTTACTGCTCAGCCAGAGACATTACTTGGAACAATATTTCAAAATCAAAGTGAATATATTAAAAATTCGGTTAATGGAAATGAATATTTTTTTAACCGTAATGGCAAAGCATTTTACTATATAATGGAATTCTACCGAACTGGAAAGCTTTTATGGTCCGTTGAAACTGATGCATCAAAAGTTACTTATCAACAGCTTAAAGAAGAACTAGATTATTTTCAAATTAATAAATCGAAAACATTTTCTTCAATGGCATCAGAAACTGTTAAAAGCACAATTGATCGATTCATTTCACACCTTGAACAATTAATCATGTGTAATGTAATAGAATGTAATAGAATGTATAGAATGAATATACATGGGTGCCTAAATTATTTTTGAAAAATCGTATTTTCGGCAAACATTTCGGCATTGCTAAATTTTTTATATGAAGCCCTTCGAAATAACTATATTATATTATGTATTTTGATGAAAAGAGTTCAAAAAATTTCAGCAATAATTTCAGCAAATATGAAAATTATTTCGGCACTATATAAGACTAATTTCGGCTGCCTAAATGCCGTAATTACTTTTTTATTAAGATGGGCAATTTAGGCACCCATGTATAAGAATGAATAACTAATAGATAGAATACCGTTGCCCATGTATCACGGTGTTCACCAGTCAATAAACCTATTGGAGGCTGTAATTCCGTAGTATTATTCACTTGATCGACCACAGATTGAAGTTGCCTAAAGTGCAAGAACCCAAGTATAAATCTAACAGGCTTTGCATTTTAAATGTTTGACAGTATAATTATAAAAAAAGACAAAAAAACCTTTTAATTTCTTTAATAGGAACCCTTTCACCATTTGCACCCAAGACATGAACTTTGAAAATTTGATCTTTAAAAATCACAATAATATGTTTAGCAGTCGCAGGCCAAGTTGTTATAATACGGTCAGAGGGGAAATCAGCAATTCGTGCAGCACCAAATTGTTTAGTATATTGATCCATGCACAATGGGCCTTGACGAGTTTTCTCTGGCGGTAATAATTCACTGTTTAATTACAGGTATATGCATTGTCAATATATTATCAATATATTAAGTCAGAAATCATAAATGAAAAATAAAGTACTAAATATAACATACTTGTTAATCGAATCATTAAATGTCAACA